ATTTGGTCCTCAAAAAAGTGATCCTCGCTACAAAGGATGCATACGAAGGAAAGCTGGGACCAAATTGGGAAGGGCCCTACCGCGTAACAGAAGTAGTGAGACCAGACACCTACAAAATCCAAGATTCTGAGGAAAAAAATTTACTCCATCCATGGAATGCAGAACATTTGAAAATGTATTACTAATGACACCTTAAGGGCATCAAAGCAGTAGAAGTTGGGACTTGATTTGATTTTTAGGGGTGTTACCCAAGATTTTAATGTATTTTTTTTGAGAATTATTACCCAATATCGCTTTTTATAAGCAATAAATTAATAAAAATTTATATGTCATTTACTCAAAAAGATTTTTTGTATTTCATTTCAAAGGAGTATCGGTACAAAAATAAGGCCAAATACTACCTTTTCAAAAATAAAAAATTAAAAAAATTAAAAGTCCTAAACACCCTAACTGCTCTCATGGTCGTCCCCCACCTCCTCCTCATTGTCATCAACAGCATCAGATCCCCCTTCATCACTGTCGTCAGTGGACACGAAAGGTGAGAAGTCAATATTAGGAAAAGCGCTAGAAACCTTTCTTCGGAGATCCTCGAAATCATCAATAAAAGCATCTGCAAGACCATTCTCCAAGTCTTCCTCAGCGGAAAACTCTCTCCCGAGCAGCCGTCAACTTTGCCTCCGCAACAACTGCCTCTCTGAGCATGGCCCTCTGTAAGCTTAGCCTCCCTAAGCGCGCTCATCTCGCGGACTGCCAAAAGCTCAGCCTCTAACTTAGTGGCCTTCTCATGGGCTGCAGCAAGCTCAACATCCCTGAGCGTGCTTCTCTCGCGGACTGCCAAAAGCTCAGCCTCTAGCTTAGTGGCCCTCTCATGGGCTGCAGCAAGCTTACCATCCCTGAGCGTGTCCCTCTCGCGAGCCGCCAAAAGCTTGGACTCAAAATTAGAAGCCCTTTCATGAGCTGCCACAAGCTCACCCTCCTAGAGCACGTCTCTCTCACGGGTCACCAAAAGCTCAGAATCAAGCTCGACAATCCTCTCCTGAGCGGTAATAAGCTCCCTCTGCACAAGGCTAAGATCCAGCTTCAGCTTGTCTTGATTATAGGCCCTCGAAAGCAAGCAGATGGAGGAAGTCGAAACCTAAAAAAAAAAAAAAAGGAGAGACAAGAGATTAAGAAAAGTCAAAAACACAGAAAACAATTGGAGAAAGGGAATAACAGACCCTTACCTGAGCCAGACCTTCCAAATACGTGTTGACGATATTATCAGTGCCCGAAGCTCTAAGCTCAGAAACTTCTAGCCCAAACACAAACCTCCCAAGCCTTGCCCTGATAGCTGCCGGTCTCCCCATCATAGTACCAGCCCAAATCGGCACTCGGGTAAAAGTTCCTGAACAAGGAGGAGACAAAGGAGGGGTAGCATGAGGAGAGGATAAAAGTGGAACATATGTGCCTGGCAAGGAAGATTCTGGAGTAGCAGCTGGAGAAATTGCCAGTTAAGAAGGAGCCACCGTGGGAGTCACATGGAGGGCATCATCCGTCCTTGCCACTTTGGAAGAAGTAGGGCTCCTGCTAGAAAAGCGGGACACCACCACCCTCTTACTTGCTGCAAGAGTAGAGAAGGGTTAGATAAAAAAAGAAGGAGGAGAGGAAACTAGCTCACTCATTTTCTTCGAAGAGGAGCCGCCAGATTTCTGAGATGGAGCAACAGCTCTAGTATACTTGGGCAGGAGAACTCCCAAATCTTTACAAGGGCAAGCTTTGATAGCCTCCAATTTCCACTCCTAGTCCCGGGAAAGCGCATGTATATCTGCATGGAAAAAGTGAGCACACACGTATAAAAAAAAAAAGGAAAAAGAAGAAGTGTGCAGCATACCGGGTTTTTTAGCAGCACCCCAATGTGTTGGCACCAAAACTCTGTCGGCTTCTAAAGCCCATTCTCCACCAATAAAGAAGAAACAAGATTTTCAGCTGCTGCAATTAGAGCGCGTTCCTGTAAGCACTGTACCACTCCGTGCGGTAAAATAGTACCATCCCCTATTTGGTGTAGGGGTTTCGCTCAAATTATATGCTGCATGAAACTCCATAGGGGAAACATCCTTGTGGTGCACCTTTCTCCATAATGCAAAAATCTCCATAATGCAAAAAAACTGAGCAGGACTCTCCAACCGTTGGGCGCTAGTCGCCCTAGAGTCAAGGAAAAGTAATACAAAACACAACAAATGGGGGAGGACATGGGAAATCTTAACCCAGCCTCAAGCATCTCCTCATAGACAACAATATCCCCGGAAGAGTCGTCGCAAGCAAGCTCGCCCAACTCAGCCCGACGGCACAACACGGTCGGAGGGATGCGATAAGTAAAAACAAGCCTTGAAATATCTCCATCTAAGCGGAACAAACTAGAAAGGGTGCTCACCTTAGACCCGTCATCATCAAGTCCCACTTTGCTATTGCGTTTCTTCTTTCGGGGCCTTAAGGAGTAGTCCAAATCACCATTGGGAGAGTCTTGAGGAACTTGAATCGGGGGAGCTAAAATAGGGGCTTGATCATCAAGACCAGCATCCAAAGCTTCCTTACTACTTGCAATGTCTAGCCCAACACCTGGAAGTGTGCCTGACTGTCGTTGCTCGTCAAAACAAAGTTGCCCAGTAGCTTGAAGGGTGTCTGGCCCTTCAAAATTGCGCAAAACAGAATTTTTGGTGCAAAAATCAGCACCTAAGGCACCCAAATCAGCGCCTCTAGTGGGAATCGGATTAGCCCGTGCTCCCAGGCCACTGCCTAGCTCTCCCTGATGAACCTTGGACTGATTTTCAGCGCCACTTGATGGAAAAATGCTGCTGCCCAGCGCGCCTGGGCTGTCCAGGATAACAAGGCCAGTGCCCAAGCAGCTGTCCAGCGCGCCTGGACTGTCTAGGACAGGAGGAGCAGAGCCCAGGCCCCCACAGCGCCCGCGCTACGCAACCGCGCGACTGCGCTGCCCAGTCGCTTTCCTTCACTGCCCAAGCCATTCCTCGCGCTTCCATCTCCTCTTCGCTGTCCAGCCCTTCATTTACAGTCCCAAAACTGTCTAAGACAGCATTCAAATGCTCAAAACCAGCCTCCAAATTCTCCAAAATGGTGCCTACTTCCTCCCTTTCTTCAACCTCCACCATTCCCTCTTCAATCGACATTGTTTACTGAGAAGTTCTACTAGCAAAGAAGAAATCACACTCTTGAAAGGATTCAAGGAGAACACACTTTGGCTTCAACAAAATGGGTAGGACTTGAGTTCTCAAGGTTTTCAAGAGGTGGGTGCTCAACCTTAAAAATGAGTGAAATAGGTAACATGAAGAAGAAGACTATATTTATAGTCTAAGGTTTTTCAAAAAAAGGAAAAAAACCCAAATAGAAAATTATGAGCTCTTTTCAAAATAAAAAGACCAAATAGAATATTATGGGCCCTCTTCAAAATAAAGTGGGAAAGACTTGAAGTTTAAAAATAATAATAATAATAATAATAATATAGTCAATGCCTCATTCTCCAAGTCTTATTGGACATGGGGTATTGGGAGCAAATGATGAGTTAAGCCCAAATAGTCCAATTTATGTGTTAAAGTCCAACCCCAGTTGAGGAGTCTAACCTCATTTTTAATCCACCAAGTCCAAGACCGGTTAGACTTTTTGCTTAGCACATCATCAAGAGGGGAGCATGAGAAGCTTATCTGCACCACTGAAGGAAACGGTCCAATCTTTGAAAGCGTTTCATGAAGAGCTCCCCAACCTCCTCCTTCCGTTGATGATAAGTCGTGCTCTCCACCAGAATGATCTTTTAGTGCTATAAAGAAGCCTTGATGATAAGTCATGATCTTTACCAGAATGATCTCTTAGCTGCGATAAAGTAGCCTTGAGGATAAATCGTGATCTCCACAAGAATGATCTCTTAGCTGTTATAAAATAGCCACAATCTGTTAGGAGACTACTATAAATGGCACGCCCCACCAACATTTACAGGGATAGACCGACGACCGGAGACCACTACTTCTTTGATTCTCCATTCTCTCAAAGCTTGTATCTCTATTCTCCATACCTTTGAATTAATAAAATACCCGGCAACTGAAGCTATTGAAGAGTGGACGTAGATCGAATTGACCGAACCACTATAAATCGTGTCTTCTTTAATTTTTTATTGATTTCACTGTATTTATTATCTATACTTGATAAGTGGTGTGTAAAACTACTTTTATGCAGGTGAGGACGTTTTTCAAACCTCCTTACAAAAGAAAATTATTATTATAGTAAAATAGATAGATGATTTGATACCCATTTACGCAGTGTCACAAAAGCTTGAGAGTTGAACACAACTTTCAAACACCAATAGGCCTGATATGTAATTAACAGAGTACGGGGGTAATATACGCAGTTCTAGGGATTTGTATACGAGGAATGTTAATGGGATCTAAAATTTTAATATAATTTATTGATTTAATGATGTAATAATAATATAGTCTAATATTATTATTGTGACTAAGTAATTCTATACTTACCAAATTATTTACAAAATTTTATTTTTTAAATCAGTGTAAGTTGTTGGATCAGTGAAATCTAATAACTTCCAACAAATATTTAATGTATGTTATTTTGATACTTCATTTGAGATAGAACATTTGGTAAATAGATTTAGAATTAAAGTTTTATCCTATTATGTACAACACTTGAACTTTTTTATTAAAATTCTATTGTTCGACATATTATTATATTAATAAATTAAATTAATTTTTTATACAGTAATAATACGAGTGTTTCTATTGTTTTTCACTTTTTGCCAGCTATGTAAAGTTTCTTGGAAAAAGTGTGGCTGCAATAATATATCTTTTTTGAACAGTTTTGCCGGCCAACCCTTTTTGATTTTTCATCATTGTCACCTTCTTAATGTTTCCATTGGTTGCAGCCAATATCCGGAGAGTCTCAAGCCTCAGTTCATAAGACCCTATCTCTCTCTCTCTCCCAATCTGATCAAAGAGTAGTTTATGGATACCCAAAAAACAAATTTGAGTGTTCTTATGCTGCCATGGTTGGCTCATGGTCACATCTCTCCTTTCCTCGAGCTAAGCAAACTACTCGCAAAGAGAAACTTTCATGTATACCTCTGTTCGACACCAATCAATCTCAGTTCCATTAAGCAAAGAATTACCCAAGAATACTCTCTCTCAATAGAAACAGTTGAACTCCATCTACCCTCCTCCCCTGAACTTCCTCCTCACTTCCACACAACTAATGGTCTCCCCACCCACCTCAATTCCACTCTCATAAAGGCCTTTGAAATGGCAAGTCCTGCCATCTCAAATATATTCGATACCCTAAAACCTGATTTGCTTATATATGACTTCAATCAACCATGGGCAGCAGCTATAGCTTCCTCTCACAGCATTCCGGCGGTTTATTTTCTCACCACCGGAGCAGCGGTGACTTCTTTCGGCCTTCACTTCACGAAGAAGGCAGGCGAAAATTTTCCATTCCCGAAAATTTATTTTCGTGAGCCCAGGACCACTACGAAGCCCGAGGTGGTCGACTCTTCTGTAAATGATGTTAAACTCCAGGATCTTTTCGCTGAATCTCTTAAGCGATCAAATAAAATCGTCTTGATAAAGTCGTTTAGAGAAATTGAAGGAAATTATATCGATTATCTTCCCGTTTTAACTGGGAAGAAGATAGTTCCCGTCGGTCCACTTGTTCCAGACCCTGTTAACCAAGATGAGCATAAGGAGATCATGCAATGGCTGGACAAAAAAGAAGAAGCCTCAACAGTGTTTGTTTCATTTGGAAGTGAGTATTTTCTGTCCAAGGAAGTTATGGAAGAGGTGGCTCACGGGCTAGAGCTTAGCAAGGTCAATTTCATATGGGTGGTTAGGTTTCCCATGGGGGAAAAAACAATGGTTAAAGATGCACTACCAGAAGGATTTCTTGATAGGGTAGGAGATATAGGATTGATCGTGGAGAGATGGGCCCCACAGGCAAATATTCTGGGCCATTCAAGTACTGGGGGCTTTGTGAGCCACTGTGGATGGGGTTCCACAATGGAAAGTATGTATTTTGGTGTTCCAATTATAGCCCTTCCCATGCTTGTTGACCAGCCATTTAATGCTCAATTGGTAGAGGAGGTTGGTGTTGGTTTGGAGGTTGAGAGGGGCAAAAATGGAAAGATTCAAAGAGAAGAGATCTCAAAAGTCATAAGAAAGATTGTGGTGGACAGGAGTGGGGAGGGTATAAGGAGAAAAGCTAGAGAACTGAAGGAGAAAGTAAGAATGAAAGAAGAAGAAGATATAGATGAGGTCGTGGAGGAGCTGTTACAACTTTGCAGGGAGAGGAATATTTCAGGAATGTAACTGGCTTTGAGAAAATGGTTCAGCTAAAAACCCCCCAATTAGTGATTTCTAAGTCCAATTGTGGTTTAATTTAGTATTACTTTATTATGTTGGTCTTGAAGCGATAATTTTGTTTTATTATAAATTAAAAAATAATTAGAGTCATGAAAACAGTCTTTCATACGTAAGGTAAGATTATATATATTTTAACTCTGTCCCGACCTCACAGTAATTACTATTAAGAGCCTTGTGGACTATGCCACGCTTTTTAAAAGTTTTTTCCTCAATGTTTTGTGTTATTGGCAAATAAATGATATGATTCTTAAATCATATATAAATAAAAAAATGAACCTAATCGCAAGCTTCTATTCATGCAATGATACAAAAGTTCTGTTAGAGAACGGTGAGATACACTTTATTTATTTATTTTATATTTGGGAATGTTTCAATAATATTGCTCTCGGAGACTCTATAATATGCTAACAATGTGGAAAAGACAATCCTTGTTGGTCGTGAGCCTTGTTTTAGAAAATAGGTATATAATTAAATTATATTAAATTGTATGAAGTTTAATTAATTTATGTAATAAACAAAATTCAAAAAATAATGCACTCACACTAACGTAGATTTGTACAAACAATAAATAAGAAAAATCAGAAATTCAATTCGACCCTTGTAAAACACAATCTGCTTAAAATTAATTTGCTCTCTCTCGGTGCTCAAGGTCGATGAGCAATTGTCTCCTAAGATAAAACGGATTTTATGTTCTTATAGAAGCAAAACTTCAATTTTCAAGATTCTAAAAAACACAACTTGTGTTTATACTTGAACTGAACTAAAAGAATAATGTAACAATAAATATAGAGAGAGAAGAAATTCCGAAATTGGAATGAAATGAAATGACAGTGGGATATTCTATTTATAGACCCTTGATGGCTATTCGGAACGCCTGAAGAAACATGAGATGTCACTATTTAGGTTCCACAAACACACTCTTTAATTTGAACAGACAAAAGACACCTCCTGAAATAAATAGGCTCTCTGGAATGAACCAGACCCTTTTTAGTGGCAAGTTCATAATAATGGAAGAAATTTAAAGTTCGATTGAGATTTTAATTCCGATCCACATTTGGATTCAATTGGATTGACCCATTACCCACCCTGTTCCAAATAATTTTTATCCAAAGAGAATATATTTTTTTTGCCCAAGTCTGAGCTAGCCCGACCAGGTCAGGTCGTGGTGGCCAGGCAGCACGCACATGTGTGTGATAACTAAGGTAGTGTAGGTGCTCGCTCCACTCACAATAGTGTGGTACTCATTGGGCTCAACCCTTGAAGCCAACTATGAATATATTAACTCACCGAAGTGTTAGTCTTCTTCTAATGTGAGACAAACCTTATTTTACTACACCAATATTAGTTTACTTCATTAATTCAAATAGGTCACTTTGAGACATAATTTCTAAATCAAATCTTAATAGTTTTGGACAAATAGATATACCACGTTAATTTCCTTGCGGAAGAGAACGCGTTTAAACTTGATCCCACCAATTTCGAGGTGTGACCCCCACTTTTATTTAAGCCTCAAGTTGCTCAAATAATTTATTTAAAACCTTTTTTTTTCCAACAAGCCTTTCCCTCCCAACCTGCTTCATCAATTTTGTTTGTTGCTGTGACTTTGTCAGTCAAGAGTTTAAGTATTTTATAATTAATATATTAGGATTAACTCTGTCTCTTAAGACACTTTGTAATACCAATAATTATGTATTAAGTATGTAATATTTATATTTTAAACATCAATTTCTTTTTTTCTTTTCTATAATTATGCAATTGAAATTAAAGTGAATACAAAAAAAAAATTAGAAAGAGGTAGGGATAGAGAAGAATGTTGTAGGTGTTGAAAGAGTTTGAAAGTTTCGGTGTTCAATAACAAAATTTGGTTTGTGTTCACTGTATTTATAAATATATATTAAAGATAAACAGTTGCACATGATTTACAGAATATTAAATTTGAAATTTAAACTAAAGCTAAGTGATATTTAGGGACTGAATCAGCTGCTTCAACCAATTCGGCAGATTGTTTAATAGTGTTGTCTACCATTAACGAGTTTATTGGTGAGTTGTCTAAAATGGTAGCCGTGCTGAAGTTTTTAGGTTCGAAAAAATTGTTTTGAATAAATTTTGTATCATTAGATGAAATCGGATGAAGATTGAAATAATTTGAACTGTTATTGTATTTTTATAACTATGCAATACAAATTACAAGCAGTAATATTAGATAAAGAGTAATATTACATGTACTTAAAAATTAGATTTAAAAATTATAATTATTGATTTTACTGTAGGTCCCAGCATTTGTTGGAACCCACTACATATTCAATAGTTGTGATTATTAAATCTAATTTTTAAGTCAACTTAACATTACTTTTAGATAAATATTATGAAGTAATTTAACAAGTTTCGTGCTATTTGATAATTTAAATTTCTTTGTGATTTGGTTTCAGTGGGGTATCTCCGTGACATCAACTTTTAAGCATTCATATTTTCTAGGATTGATCCAGTTGTGAACATCCATTTAAATTGTAATAATGGAATCAGCCATTGTGCTTCCACCGCGAGGGACTCCCGGGATAATTGGGGGGGAAAAAAAAAATACACGACTACTTGTTCAACCCATAGCTTGCGACAAAGGTACTGATGAGGGAAAAATATTCGGTGCTTAGCAGTTATCGCGTGGCTTTGTCATGTGATTTTCACACCTAATGAAAAATATTACAAAAATTATTTCTCCGACATAACTTTACACGTGGCATCAATTGATAGGAATTGATTATAATAAAAATAATATAAAAAATAAGTGGAAATATATCTTTATGTCTCGTCTGCGGCAAGGTTCAATAACAAGGTCTGATCCTCGACTTTCGATTGCACATCTAACCTCAGGCAAACATGATCAGGTCATCCATATCATTTCACGAGAAAGTTCAATATTTCCAGTTTAGATTAGGAGTATAGATTGAGCTCATTTATTCACGAATTGTTCAAAAAAACATGAGGTCATGCCAAGAAATATGACCTCTCGCAAATATGAAAGATCACAGTATATCCAAGTTCGGAGATAAGTCACGATACCACCTCAGCATGTTCAAAGGAATATAGAGAATATAACTTCTAAAAGCCAAATATTCCTCAAATAAATCCTAACAAACATGGAGACCATTTTATGATGACGTGAGGGCCATCCAACCTATTTGTATAAATACAAGAGACAGCCTCTCATACAAGATGAATTGTAATCTCAACAGCTTTAACATTTATCTTCTTCCCCAAGCAACGAAAATCTCCCAAGGAGTAAGAAATTCTATTATAGTAGATTAGTCAAGCTCTTTAGTTAGTGAACCACTATATTCTTTGCATTCTTCTTTACTTTCTAGCTCTATTATTCACTATTCACCCACACACTATTCTTACCACAATTACTATTTCTTACCACAATCACTGTTTCATAACCTTGAGCTTTTAACATTAAGCACCTAGCTCACGCCATTGAGTTGTAACATCAGCAGTTGGCATCGTCTGGGTAATTGATTTTCATCATTTCCCTTAAGTACTTCATCTCTCTCTTTTTTTTTTATGGTCTTAACTCGAAGCATAATCCAAATTCCTGAAAACCAGCAGAGAGTTCCTCCTCCTCCTACTATAATGAATCCTCCAGTCGCAAAACCACTTCCCAAGGATAAATCAAAAACTTACCAACAAACATTCCTCCACTTTTTCAAGCAAAACGAGGAGTTAGTTACGCTCATGCAAGCTCAAAATCCTCGACCAGTACAACCAAACCCCTTTCCTCCAGTTTAGCCTCCTTTAAATCCTCTAAACTGTATAATGGAGGAAGATCGTTGTAGCTTCTCTATAGAAAACATCAGACGTCAACCACTGAGGGAGGAAAATGGATATGAGGCATAAAGTAGAATTGTGGGGGAGAGGAGAGGAAATCAACAACCTCCCCCACAACAAATCACCATGGATCAATTCTAGGAAGAACGTTCCGGATAAATCCAATATGATTAGGAAATGTGAAAGAGGTTGTGAAAAATCGAGTTCCGGTTACTATAGAAGCTTTGATCCAACAAGCTGAGTCATCTTTTTCATCAGAGGTTTTGCAGTTTTCTCTTCCACCTAAATTTAGAATGCCAAAGATCGACTCGTTTGATGGTACCAAGGGTCTTGTAGACCATCTCAATTCCTATAAAAATCAGTTGGAGCTCCACGGGTACCAAGACCTTGTCGGTTGTCGAGCTTTGGCCATCACGCTTAAGGGTTCAACCATTGCCTGTTTCAATAGGTTGGCTCCAACATCAATCTCTTCCTTTAACGAGCCCTAGGTGCATTTCATGTAGGGGTGAAAAATTTCAAGCGTCAATATTTTTTTCACCTTAACTAGGAGTGAGAATTTTCGACTCAACATGATGACACGACTCGAACTCGACACGAATTTTATGATACGAACTTGATTATAACTCGACACGAACTTAAAAATGACTTGATACGCGAACAAGAAATATAAAAGGCATATAATTTTATGATTCAAAACAAATTTAACACGACAAAACTCGATTGTCACTCTTAATATTAGAGAAATTTTTTTTAAAAAAATTGGTCATTTTTATTTTTCATCTATTCAACCATAAACACAAAGGAAGAAAAATGTATCATTCATATTTTTTATCCTTGAAGGATAGAAAATGTATCTTTTTTACTTTTCATCCTTTCTACCAAACGGAGCATAATACTTCGTTGGGTATGATGAAAAAATGGAATGATGAAAAATTGGAACGATGAAAAGTTGAAGGAATATATAAAACATCATGGTTGGTAATGAATGATGGAAAAACGAATATATTAACTTTTCTTCCAACTCACCAAAATCAATCCCTCCAAAATTGAAAGGAAAGTGGATGAAAAGTTAATTATTTGTGTTGAGATATATCTTAGTTGTCTATATATCTTTTTGTATATACATATATTATGTATATATTAATTTCATATAAAAATATAGTGATAAAATATGTATATGTATATATACATACATACATATATATATAGACATACATATATTTATTTATATATATATATATATATATATATATATATATATATATATATATATATATATATTTTAAAAATAAAAAGATAAAAAATAAAAATAAAAAATATTAGTGTTAAATTTTTTTTTCAAAGTTTATGTGAATCAATACGAATACGAACATGACACTAAAATAAACAGGTTAACTCGTAATTCGACACGACACAATTAGTTAAATGAGTTGAGTTATGTTTGACTAATGTTTGACATAAATCCGTAATGAATCAACACGAATCTGACACGACTCAATTGTCGCTCCTAATCTTAGCCAGCACAAAAAAAAAATTGTCTTCTTATTTTTGATCTATCCAATCAAACACAAAGCAATTAAAGTGTATCATTCCTATTTTCTTTCTTTGAAGCATAGAAAATGTATCCCTCTATTTTCTATTCTTTTTACTTTCCATCCTTAATATCAAACGAAGGTAAGACAATTTCTAAATACCACTTACAATGTGCCATAGAGCCAGTCAAGTTTGACAATCCAGGAAACATTAACTTGAGCACCTAAACTTACTGTTGCTCATCGGCCTTTCTGCCATCATTGTTCAAGTTGAGTGGCTAGTGAAGGGACAAAGGGAAATGCTCGATCATGATCCACAAATAGTTTTTGAGTACCAATTATAATGCATCACTGCATATAACTGCGATAGTGACTGCAGTTTAGAGATATAACTGCACCCATAATTTCCAAAGAACAACCATGGAGGTGATAGCCACCTTGCTAACTTGTTTGATACTTTAGTTGAAGATAGCAATTAGCAACATCACAGTCAAGAATACAACATCCAAAAATACCAATCATAATGTGCCACGGCACATAAAGGCAATAGAGACAATTTTAAGTTTTACCATACAGGAGAGATACTTGAGCATCCTAACTTGCTGTTGCTCGTACGCCTTCTGCCACCACTGTTCATAGAGTGTCAAGTGAAGAGAAAAGGGGAGTGTGCTGCATCATGTTCCTGAACACAACGTGAAGAAAGTGCTAGAAATGGTGCGTTTATGCCGGCAAGGACATGTGACGAAGGCACTAATCTTGGAAATTTTGAAGTCACAGAGACTAGTTGGTGGTATTACTCCATAGCATAATGCTACCTCCACAAAACCAAGTCCATGTCCATCCTCACAGAAGGTTTTCCTCTTGACTCTCCTAGTTTTTCTTCGTCCTTTCAGTTTTTAATTATTGACGATGTTCTTTTTTCTTCTAACTACAGTTTAAGTCTCTTACGGCTGGTTTAACACTTACATTAGTACAAATCTGTGTACGAACTTTGAGATATATTCTTCGAAAGATCAAAATTTTAATTATGTACTAAGCTAAAAAAAAGTTGAACACTCATATTTTGGATTTGGCAATAGATTAATTAACTGAAACATCACAGTGACATGACCTTAAGTGAAAAAATGGGGTCCAATTTGACTAATTATTGAGTTATCACTGAACGGTTATATCACGTAACAATACTGATGTGCCGTTACACCCAATATGTACTCATGGTTGAAAATGGCCTAGACCACCTCACTTACATACCATCTATTGATTCCATTTTGCTTTGTGCACACTCTCTCTCCCTTAAGAATAGAAAGTGCATTCCATTTTGTTTTCTTTCTTTCAAATTTTCCATCAATTCTATAAAGTGGACTATAAGTGATTCAAATAAAATCAACTTGTTCATTTGATTTTTAACTTAATCTTATGAATCACTTACATTCATGCTGTTGCGTGATTATTGGCATTGTTGAGCTTGGCCTGCAAAGCGTCATTTAATTGGCTTAAATTGAAAAGCTTCAAGGGAGACCATTCCATTAACATCGTCTGGTGAAAAAAAGAGGGCAATTTGTAATGATCCACTCACCACTAAACACTTTTGGCAATGTTTTCTATCAATAAAATATTATATGGAGTGGTAATAATCCTAAGGGTTGAATCATCGGCGGAGGTATAATCTTAGTTCATATTGGTATGGGAGGTCCTAAGCAACGTCACGGGAAAGACGAGCTAGGTGACTTTGAAGGAGTTTTTTTGAAAATTTGCAAAGTCGTCCTTGTGTAATTCCCAAGCTTGGTCTTAGCATAAAATAGAGTTACTCTGTAGGAAGGTTGCACAAACTAATATTGCATTAAACTGATTTTACTATTTTTTGGTTCGATCTAATAGGCCATCAGTTTCTTGGCCCCTATTAAATGATTCGTATGGTATAAACTACTTATTAACAACAGAACATGATTTTTGAAATTATAAATGATAAAAAATTCATTCCAATGAAAGAGTCGAGATAGAAATTCTTCATTTTCACAATTTTGCGTCGCTAGCTTACCGAGTCAACTCCATCCCTTTGTCAAAATAGTATGGTGCAATCCAATCCAAGCTAATTACTTTCTAATAGTAGTGTTTGAGCCCATTATTATTTAATATTGTTTTCTATTCTTGAGCCATTATGAGATTCGATCTTTTTATAGTTTGAAAGCCTACACTTTCTACTTTGATCCCATAAAATTTTAGACCAAATTGCTCTTAGATTTTTTTCACGGCAATTAAAGTTCAAAATTCAAAATTCTCACCATAATATCATATTGAAAAAAGATTTTATGCTTTATAAATATTATACCCTTTTTTCTGTTTGTAAAATAAACACGTTGCTTTCTCTTTTCTCTAAATATTTTTCAATGAGAGAAAATTTTGAGGGAGAAAAATGTAAAACTTACACAATTGAAAAGTATAATAGTATTTTTTATTAATACCAAAACTTCATGTATTTTGCATACAAATCACGATAAGATAAATTTTAATTTATATTTTTTTAGACATAAAATTTCCATATAACATCAAAATTCTATTGGTGTAGACCTAAATGTTGCCTGTCACGAGTGTGGACAAAAGAAAAGAATGTTATTTACGGCACTAAAAAAAACAGAATGAAAACTTGTAAATTAGTGCAGAGCTAAGGAATATTAGGAATATTGAAATTGGTCGCCATGACAGAGTTTTTTGGGCAATGATATGGAGGCCAAATTTGGGACTAATGTATTGTGACTATTAAATTAGCAACGAGTTTCAACACTAAATGAATTTCATTATCAATCCACCGTTACAATGTATTAGATCCCTTAATTAGATACAAATGTGAAATATTTACTTGAAATTTTTCATCTTATTTAGTCCTAAACAAGTCTGAACACTAAACATAAGAAGGGCACCCGTGACACCCAAATAATCTACAGTTTGGACACAAGCTCAATGTGTGCATAATAATAAGGGTCTCAAACGTTTCGTGTTAGGTCATATCGTGTCGGATTGATTTCGAGTTTGTGTCAAAAATTCCAAAATACAAACTTGACCTATTTAGTAATCATGTCGAAATGGCCTGTTTAACCTATTTAATATTCGCTTCCACACACAGTGCACAACGTGAACACCACTCAAGCCTCAACACAATTCAGGAGCATTTGGTCCATGATCTCAATCACATTGTCTGGTATGGCCATCCTAGCAACGTCATGAAGATTTCAACCTTCGTGAAACACTTGATCAGTTGGTCTCTTTCCTGTCATCATCTCCAACAAGCAAATGCCATAACTGTAAACATCCCCGTTGGTTGATATCTCACTACCGAGGCCATACTTTGCATTGGTAACATATTGCATTAGCTGAAGAGGAGTCCAAGGCTCTTGTACCAAATTTAATGGCCATGATTATAATGAGATGATTGATATTATAAAAAAGAATATCGCGTACTATGATTACCTGGCGCTGTGTATCCAATAGTTCCTCTTATTATATTCGAACTGCTATGAACATTACATGTTAGCCTTGGATGAAACCTTGCTAACCCAAAATCTCCAATGCGAGCAATCATATCATTTTCAAGAAGAATATTGCTTGGCTTCAAGTCACAATGGATGATTGGATTTTGGCAATGGTTATGGAGATAATTAAGTGCACAAGCCACATCAATGGCAATGTTAATTCTTTGAAGAAGACTTAAGCTCGGAAGCTCATCTTGTCTATCCTTCATTTCTCTACTCAAGTGCAACCACTTTTCCAGATTACCATTTGGCATGAACTCATAAATGAGGGCTTTAAAGTCATTACCTTGAAAATCAATACTTGAGCAAGAAGATATGATCTTCACAAGATTTCTATGTCGAATATTTCTCAAGGTTTCACACTCAGCCATGAAACTCTTGGAAGCTCCATGACGCTGGAGGTTAAGTACTTTGATAGCAACCATCAATCCTTCCTCATCAAGCATTCCTTTATACACAGAACCAAAACTACCTTCTCCAATTAAATTTTCTGAAGAGAACCCATTGGTTGCTTTCAGGAGCCTTTGGTAAGGCATTCTCAAGAATGGTTCCTCCATCAGCAATCCTACTGATGGAGATTTTCTTTTCTTCTTTAACCAAAACAAGGTGAATGATGATACTATGGTTATTGCAACAAGAGTAGAAGCTACCGAGGTAATCAATATATGAGCAAGAGACATATTCCTTTCCTTCATCTTTTTTACGGTGCGCCTAGGCAGGTCTAGTTCGGATATTCCGCCACAGAGTCTACTATTCCCAAAAATAGATATTGCACTCACATTTGTGAAAACTCCTTTAACTGGTACCTCACCCTCAAAATTATTAAATGATAAATTCAATTTTTTCAAATCAATTTGCCACAAGAATTCTGTATTTGTCCAATTAAGTTGTTCCGAGAAAGATCAAAATTTCGGAGACCTCTCAAAGACCTTAATGATGTGGTTATAGAGCCACAAAAAGAATTACCCTGCAGATATAGATTTTCAAGGCTAGTGCAACTACTTAAGCTACTCGAAATGTCACTAGACAAGTTATTCTCAGACACATCTAGTTCCACTAAGTTTTTTAGGAGTCCAACCTCTGATGGAAGAGATCCGAGCAAACAATTATGAGCTAGATTTAGTGAAATTGATAAAGATGAAAGTCTAAAAAATTTCTTGGGGTATGATTCCACTAAGATTATTTTGGGAAAGATTGAGAAGCAACAATTTTTGGCAGTTTTCAAGAGTTAAGGGTATGGTTCCGTCTAATCTATTGTTCTCCAAGTAAAGTTCAATTAACAAAGATAAGTTTCCAATGGAATCAGGAAGTTTTCCCAAAAAATTGTTCTCTGAAAGACCCAACCTTTGTAGCTTTCGGAGACTACCAATGGTAGTGTGAATCATACCTGTGAATGGATTATAATCTAGCCCTAAGATATCTAAGTTAACAAGGTTACCTATTGCGGGTGGGAGGATTCCATATATAAGATTTCCATCAAGTACTAGAAAAACGATTTCGGTTGAGGGATTGCCAATAAACTTTGGCAGCACCCCACTAACAAGTTACCTGCCAGCTCCAATTGTTGCAAACTGCTGCAGTTCACCATAGAATTGATGAAGTTCATTTCATCAGGTGCCCCACTTCCGAAATTATTGTAGAACAATAATACTCTCCAAATCTTCTTTAGGCCTCCAAAATTGATTGTTATTTTTCCAGTAAAATTATTCTCATACACTTGAAGGGATTCCAGCTCTGTTAAATTGGACACAGAGAATGGGAGTGGTCCAGTAAACAAGCTGTGTTGTAGTTCCAGTAGTTGAAGATGAGGAAGCATCATACCTTTGCTTGGCTGAATATTACCTTGAAGTTGATTATAAGCCAAAGAGAGAATTGTCAAGGCAGAAAGATTATAAATGGAAGGAGGGATCATACCAGAGAGGCTATTGTTGCTTAATGCAAGTACTCTCAAGTTTCTCATTTGAAAAAACAAAACAATCAAAACGACATCGTTTTTTGGCCCTAAAAAAATTCATTTATACCCAAAATTCTGAACTTTCTGTTCTGTAATGGCTGCTAAGGGCTCTACCTCTGTCCACTTGGTAAAGTAATCCACCCATACAATGACGAACTTGTATTGTCCTACAACATTGGGAAGAAGCCCTAGTATATCTAGACCCCATTATTGGAATGACCAAGGGCTTATCACTGAGGTCAAGAACTCTAGTGGGTAGTTAGAGATGTTGGCATACATCTGGCAAGCGTTGCATTTTCTGACCAGGTCTGTTGGGTTTTTGAGCAAAGTGGGCCAGTAATACCCCTGCCTTAATGTCTTTCCTGCCAAAGCCCGAGCTCCGATGTGATTGCCATAGACTCCTTCGTAAATTTCCCTGAGTATATAATCAGCGTCCTTGTTCTCCATGCATTTGAGGAGTGGCGTTGAAAAACCTTGTCTGTATAAGTTTCCATGCAAAATGAAAAATCTACCTGACTTGGTTCTCAGTTTTACTGCTTCCTTGTTGTCTTCCAGTAAGGTCCCATTCTGGAGATACACCACAATGGGGTCCATCATGCTTGATGGAATCTGCACAGGAAAAAATTCTTCATTCTCAATACACATAGATGATTCTGCCAGATGCTCCACGGGGATCAACTTGTCCAGATTTTCTTGAGAAGTTGTTGTCAACTTTGCCAAAATGTCTACTCTCGAATTTTCAGTTCCGGGGATATGTCTGATCTTTACTTGCACAAATTTCTTGATTAATTCTTGCACCTTCCTAAGATAAAGGACCATCTTCTTACCCTTAGCCTCGTAAGCACCCTCTATCTGTTTTACCATGAGTTGTGAGTCACTGCAGATCTCTAGTTGCTCGGCTTCCATTGAATGAGCTAAGTTGAGCCCTGTTATGACTGCCTCATACTCGACTTTGTTGTTTGAAGCTTTGAATCCAAATCTCAGTGTGTATTCAACATCTATTTCATCGGGGGAGGTCAAAATCAAACCAGCTCCACTGCCCTGAGCATTGGCAGCTCCATCTACTGAAAGTTTCCACGTAGGGAGGTCAGGTACTAACTACGCTGTCCCTGCAGGTATCCCCGGTTGTGAATTTTACAATGAAATTTGCCAATATCTGCCCCTTAATGGCTGTTCTTGGCTTGTATCTGATGTCAAATTCGCTAAGTTCAACGGCCCATTTAACTAGTCTCCCCGAAGATTTTAGCTTGTGTAGCACCTACTTCATAGGTTTATCTGTTGGGACTTCGATAGTATGAGCTTGGAAGTAGGGTCTTAGTCTCCTGGCAGTTGTCACTAAGGCTAAAACGAGTTTTTTCATTTTAGGATACCTTTCTTTTGCCCCCCTTAGAGCTCGGCTGTAGTTGTACACTAGTTGCTGAGCTCTATCCTTCTCCCTTACTAGCACTGTGCTGGTTAAGAACTCTAAGACAGCCAGGTAAATGATAAGTACTTCTCCTTCTAACAGACTTACCAAAACAGGTGGGGAGCTCAAGTATCCTTTCAATGCTTTGAAAGCTTCTTCACACCGAACATCCCATTGAAAGGCTTTCTTTAAGACTCGAAAGAAGGACTGACACTTGTCGCTTGATCTGGAAACAAAGCGACTCAGGGCAGCTATTCTCCCGGTTAAACGTTGTATTTCCCTTGTGTTGGAGGGAGGTTGCATATCCAACATTGCTTTGACCTTCTTTGGATTAGCCTCTATCTCTTTGCTATTAACTATAAAGCCTAAAAATTTTCGTGCTGACACCCCAAAGGCACACTTACCTAGGTTGAACTTCATCTTGTATTATCTTAGGACCTGAAACGACTCTACTAGGTGCCCAATGTGGAGCTCTGCCTTCAGTGACTTGACCAACATGTCGTCAATATAGACCTCCATGGTGGTCCCAATCTATTTTTGAAACATCTTATTCACCAGGCGTTAGTAAGTGGCTCCTACATTTTTTTAACCTGAAAGGCATCACTTGATAACAGTGCGTCCATTGCTCGGTTATGAATGATGTCTTCTCTTAGTCGCTGAGATCCATCCTGATCTGATTGTACCCCGATAAGGCATCCATGAAGCTGAGGAGCTCATGTCCCGTAGTGGCATCTACAATCAAATCTATCTGGGGTAAAGGAAAACTATCTTTTGGGCAAACACGGTTGAGGCCTGTAAAGTCAATGCAAAGACGCCATTTGTCATTTGTTTTCTTGACTGGGACTATATTGGCTAGCTAGACTGGGTAATCCACTTCTCGAATGGCTTTCGCGTGAAGGAGCTTGCTGACCTCTTCATTGATGGCTTTCTGACGCTCTGGGACGAAGCTCCTCATCTTCTGCTTAACGGGCTTACAGGCTGGATTCACGCTGAGCTTGTGAGTGATGACAGAAGGATCAATCCCTTTCATGTCCTCTTGCTTCCATGCAAAAACTTCCTTATTCCTTTTTAGGAATTGGATGAGGAGATCTTTGATCTCCTTGCTCAGCTTGGATCCAACGTAAACAAGATGCTCTGGCTCCTCATCAATTTGAACAAGTTCTAGCTCTTCTGATGGTGTTGGCCTGGTCTCGAGTTCATCCCTCATGTCAAGATCATCCAATTGGATGCTCTCAACCTCCTTATTTCTCATGGATGTCATGTAGCATTCCCGTGCTACGCGCTGGTCTCCTCGGACCACTCTAACTCCGTTTTTTGTTAAAAACTTCACTACAAGGTGATAGGCAGAGGGAATAGCCCTTATAGAATTGAGCGAGGGTCTTTCAAGGAGCATATTATGTGCTGAAGGTGCATCAACCATTAGGAATTTTAGAGTTGTTGTAGTATGACAGGGTGGGTCACCTAAAGTCAAGATGAGTTGGATTGACCCCAGGGGTAGTACCCTTACTGGTTCAAGCTTTTCTCTTCCTATATCTATTTTGTCGAAAGCAAAAACAAAAATGTTGTCTGTCGAGCTGCCATTGTCAATCAAAACACGATAGATAGTCCTATTGGCCACCATAGCTCTTACCACCAAAGGGTTATCATGGGGATGTTGGCAGCCCTCCAGATATGAATCTGAGAAAGTGATAGCTGTGTCTAAGCGTGGAGACTTAGACACAGTATATACTTCGGGAGCTTCTGTGACTCTGATTTTTCGCAAGTGGGCCTTTCTGGCAGAGCTGAACCCTCCTTTTCTGGCAAATCCTCCAGATATCACTTTGATCTCCCCCATAGGTTACTGGTGTGGCTCTGGTGCTTGACGCTGAGGGGGTGGAGGTGGGAGAGCTCGGTTTTGATTATCATTGGCCATATAGCGTCGTAACTGCCCTCGTTGGATTAGAAATTCTATTTCCTTCTTCAATTGGATATAGTCGTCGGTGTGATGACTGTGTACATACCTTAGTTGTAGCTCTGGTTGTGGAGGGCCGAGGTGATCCCTAACATTTCCTCTTCTTTTCGGGGAATATTCTCTGTCTCTTCTTGGAGACCTGCCTCATTCTCTTTTCTTTCTTGGACTTCGTTCTCTCATCTTTTCTTCCTCCCTTTTCTCTTTTCTCGATGAAGAGCTCCTGACCTTGGAGAGGAGCGCTTCCTCACCATTTATGTACTTTTTTGCTTTAGCAAGCACCTCCGCCATACTAGTCTGGGGGTTCTTTGAGATGGAAAACATTAGATCTTTTGACTGAACTCCCAGACCTGCTATGAAGGTTGTAATAGTAAATTTTTCGTCTGGGACATTCACCTTCAAGGATTCTGAGTTGAATTGTTGGACATAAGACCGTAGGTTCTCATCGGGTCCCTATTTCACATTTAACAAATGGTAGCTCGATTTCCTATAGGTCCGAGCTCCGATGAAGTGGGACACAAACGAGATTGACAGCTCTTTAAAAGAGAAAATCGAGGTTAGGGGGAGTCTGTTGAACCATGCTAAGGCTGAGCCTTTTCAGGGTGATAGCAAAGGCCCTGCATCTCATTGGATCTTGATATCCATGCAACTCCATTTGGTTTTTGTAGATGTTGAGGTGGTCCACGAGATCTTTTGTCCCATCGAAAGCATCAACTTGCGGCATTTTGAATTTATGTGGGAGAGGGAAATGCAGCACCCCAGCAGTGAATGGGGATTCGATTTGCTGCACCAAGATATCCATAGTGACTGGGCCTTGCTCTTCACTGCCTCCTTTATCTGGCTGAGCTCTTGCTGGATGTTTTTGAAACGTTGCTCCTAGTGGTGTTCTCTTCTCTCCTGTTGATAAGGGAAAAAATCGCTCCTCTCCCTTTCCTTATACTGACTTTATACTTCCTCGTTGTGACTATTCCTAGGAGGTAGATGAGGTTCTTGCCCCAAGGTCTGACTATTCTCTCCCACCTCATTGACTTCTCTGAGGGGGTCGAGATGCAATTGCTCTCTTGGTGGTGGGTTATTTTGGCCTCCTTGGGCCGGTCGCACCTTCTGTGAGCGTTGTAGGAGCTTTAAGAGCTCTTCGTTCTATTTTATCAGACGTTCATTGACAAGACGAAGGGCCTCCATCTCATTATTCATGGGAAAGTTCGGATCGTTTGTTATTTGTGGCTTCTTGTTGATCTTGCATCCGTAGAGGATTGGTTTGACTTCGACTCATGTTTCGCATTGATACCATCAGTCACTGAAAAATCAACTTTATTCGTAATAGGAACAGTCGTTTCCCACTGACGGCGCCAAAACTGATGGTGTATTTCAACGTGGATGAGCTTAAGGTGCAGGTAACGTGAGATGAGTGTGGATCAGAGCTTTGAGGCTCGTGTATGATGCTACGATAAAATATTCAGGGGATTAAAGGGGTGTACACAGTAAAAATATAGTGGTTCACCAACTCGGTAGCTCTGCTAATCCACTATTCAATGGAGATTCTTGCTTCTTCTTTCACTATTTACTATACTAAAAGGTTTACAGACTGTAATATGTGATACTAGAGTCATTTCCCCTCCTTGGGGGCGTTACATAGTATTTATAGGGCTGTTC